CGGATTTCACGATGAAAGCGAAGCAGGTCATTGGAATTTAGTTAGAGATGATCAGTGGCACACGAAAGAAGAAGAACCAAGGAAATGGCCTAGACCTCTAGAACTATACCACTTTCTGCGCGTTGATCCTATCGATACGAATCTCATCGGAGCTGCCCTTTTCAATGCTAACGCTCTCTGCGAAACGGCCAAAGACTCACACCCGACATGACACGAGAGGGTGGGGGGAGGGCGTACAGCGCCATAGCGCGTTAGTTGCGCCGTGGGGAAGGTCATGCTAAATCGCCAGAGGCATTTCCCTTTATGCGAATTGCTTCTTGGTCCTCTCCCTTAGGAAATCCGCTTGTTCCTTCACTAGGGGTTTCCCTTTTTCGACGTTTGATCGTATGAATCCTCATTTAAGGGATCGCTTCACTTCTTTCTTAGCCTCCACGAGCCATTTAGCGAGAAATTCCTTGTATTCGCTCAAGTGACCCTACAGCACGCGTTGAGAAAGCGTTTCACGCTCTGGCGGTCACCCTTGTATTAAGTGATTTGGAAAGCACATTCATGGATGTGTGGACGCCACGACGCTATTTAACCATGTTGAATTAGTGTGTTAGCAGTTAGACTTAAAGGCAGCGATTACGATAGTTTCAAGAAGGGTTTAGGAGACGTGGTGGTGCTCAATGGTACGCCAGTGGCGAAAAAAGCAGAGAAATCCGTCAAGAAAACGCAAAACGGGACCCCTTTTTTGGCCGTTGGTTTTCACTCATGAACAGGTAACAGCTCAGAAAGCGGACGTATGAACGAGTTCACGCAACGCGTTTGGTGGCACCATGCCAAACCACGCTCCAATCGAGTTGCTCCAGTTGTGCCGCTGCTGGCAACGCAGCTCGTCCAAATCACCAACTAAACTAGTGGGCGGATCGCTTTTGGGGCGGAGTGCTTTCGAAGTCCTGCTCAGCAACCAGCGCACCTTTCGTCGTGAAAGCGCCACACCTCGCTTCCCTGGCAGCCAAGTAATTAACACATGCGTACCGCGTGCGCCACATGGTGGCGCACGATTTCGCACGAAACAGCATAGTTTAATCTGATTTATTTGACATTTTTCAATGCTCTTGAACTGTTGCACTCATTTTCAGAGCCTGGAAACCATACGTGTCATCACTGATAAAATTGTTGATAGATTAATGATGATACATTTTTGAAAAATATAAAAAAGATACGAAGGTGCTCATACAACGGCGGTCCGCAATGTGTTAAATCGTTAAGGTGCATATGCTTCTCTATGCGGTGCCCTTTTATTGTGATCGCTGCCTTCAAGGAGAAACGTTAGTGCGAGCAATCGTCCGATTTCATCGTGAAAGCTCTGCGTCAAAAGCCGCGGTCGTAGGAGATTGCTGCATTTTTTTGATAATGGAATTGAACAGCTCTGTGTTGGTCGATGCAGTAATCCTAGTTTAAGTCTCCTCTCCAGTCATTCTGGAGTAAGCATAGTCGTTCAGCTATCGTGTAGCACTTAAAGGAATCTTTCGCGGAAAATTCTTGCATTCATTCTTGACATAAATGTGTCAGTTGTGTGATCACTGGCAAACCGCAACCCAAAGTTTTCGAGCCGCGTGAAAATTCGAGCAGACGTACAAAAACTACACTCTATGGACAATCGAAGGTAATTTCGGGCGGAGCCAAAAGGCGGGACATGGAAAGAAGTTGGCTTTGGCCGGCTACGTACCAGGCGACGCAATGAGAGAATCGGGTTAAAGCGCGCGATTTCGGAGAGTGGAGACAAATCGATCGATGGAATAGGATGGAGTAGAAGTGTAAGATGTGAATGCAACGAAGCAGAAGGCCAGAAAGAGTTTCTAGTGAAGCACACTCCAAGAACCAAGTGGAAGCATCCCCGTCGCCAGCATTTGTGAAAGACGTCCGTGGGCACTTTGAACGCGTAGCAGCCCTTTCGATTTTTCGAATTTTTTACCAAAACAAAGCAATATTTCTGTTCTTTTCATTCTTATCGTGGATAATGAGTCTCAAGCCAGTGATTTATGGCTGAAATAGAATCATGATTTTTCCGTGAGGATTCCTTTAGGCCGATGTCAGACTTTGCGAATCGCGCGATTCGCTAGCGTCCGCGGTCGCGTTGCGGTACCAGCCAATTGAGTGATTCACTGGCCGCGACGCGACCGCAGACGCTAGCGAATCGCGCGATTCGCAAAGTCTGACATCGGCCTAACATGTGTGGATCACTGACTACTTGACTTCTGCAAACAGCTTCAAATAATATCCACCAGCGGGCTCGATATGCATGTATTGAAGTATTACCTTCTTTCAAATGGATTCTATGGAGGTCATGGATCGATGCTCATTGTATGTATTTTGCAGCAATTTTGCTATGTCGTGGGGATAGCATCGCGTATGATTTCTACCTCGTCTTCGATATAGCCATAGGTGAAACAGGCTACCGATTGTTTAATGGAACTCATCAGTTTGGATTCGATGGTATGTTTTTTCCATTAACTTCATACCCAACTGTGCATGTTACTCCACTATGAATTTGTCTGTACCAACTTAATCTGCCTTTTACTCGTGGATACGACGGAGAAGCAGTTTAGGTACTGTTGACGGCTCAAATGGTGTGGTAGTGATGGTGGAAAATGGAAATATGTCAGGACTGCGAGAATGCTGGCGAAGTCAGTTCATAGGTTACACGGGGAAGTATCATATGGTCATGCCTGTAGAAATGATAGATCGGTGAGTGCAGGAAGTATTATACATGGAATGTTTTTGAAAGCAGGTGGCTAGATAAATCTATAGAAGAGCGGAAAATGTGTCTAAGATGAAGGGAGACTGAGCCCATTAAGGAACAATTCGTGGCGCTTTTGCGTGCGCTTGCGCGCGACATAAGAAGGCTTTGCCCATCTCTGGTCACTATCGTGCCTCTGCCTTTCTCAAAGGCGCGAAAGTGACCACATATAGGTAAACCTTCTTTATGCTGATCAGTGGAGTCGAGCTCTAGCCTTTTTAGCTTTTTAGCAAAGAGGCGTAACACAGCGTCAATGACCCATACTTGAAGCAACAGTCCCAGCAGGGTTTTTACCTTCAACAATAATGGTGTCGAACGATGCGCTAGCTCTAGTCAAGAGCATAAGAAGTGTGAATGAACAAAAACTCACCTTGGAAAGCCGCTGGAAAGGGAGCTGAACGGCTCGAAAGTGGGCGTGGTTGGAATTCGGCCGAGGGATTGCAGCCGATTTCCAACCACGCCCACTTCGAAGCCGTTCAGCTCCCTTTCTAGCGGCTTTCCAAGGTGAGTTTTTTGTTCAGTCACACTTCTTATGTTCTTGACTAGGGCTAGCGTTCCACACCATTAGTGTCGAAGGTAAAACCCTGCTGGGACTGTTGCTTCAACGCTTAGAAGGAAACCAAAGAAAGCTGGTACTCATCCAGAGCTGTCATGAATTACGGTGCCAGTTCCATCTGCTCTATGCCCTTTGGTTCCGCCCAGATGTCCTTGTACGATCCATTAGGGTTTTCCAAAGGTCGGTTTCTATTCGAAAACAGGAATTTCATCCATAAACATTGTACGCAGCATCTTGTGATCACACATGATGCACCTTTTTGGGGTAAAGAATGCATTTTTCTTTGCACGTCTTTTACGATGAAAGGACACCCCCCATTGGATTATGTTAGAGATTACGGTGAGCTACGAAAGAAGAAAAACCAATGACCTTGAACCCGAGAAATGGACCCTTTGCCCGTTGATTTCGCATTGATGCGACTCTCATCGGTGCTGCCCTCTTCAACGCTAACGCTCTCTCTGCTAAACGGCTAGAGGCTCAGACAGCGAGAGGCGTACCGCGCCGATAGCGCCGCGGGAAAGGCCATGCTAGATCGCCGGGGCATATCCTTCGATGCGAATTGCGTGTCGGTCCCACACTTAGTCGATCTGCCTACCTCTCACACTAGGTAGATTTCCCCTTCTTCGGCTTACCTTATCGTGAAATCCTCCTTTAAGACTCCCTGCTACCATGAACATATTTTGAGGTTTGGTAAACCACGTCTACCCTGCCCTTGGTCTCCTTTTATAGAAATAATACATGTCTTCGAAAGAGAGAGCAAGAAAACAGTTCTACCTTTGCGAAACAGTAGCAGATTGCTGGTAAAATAAATAAAAGGATAAAGCATTTGCCGTTGATCAATCCCTTTTTGGGATGCGGCACGCATTCTACTTCCATTTGTACATTCGTAGTGGCGTTTGAATGCGATGTGGCCTATACAATGACTTGCGGGGCCAGCCGATGTACAAGTCAGTGTTTTTATCCTCCCAGACAAGTCTGGTACCAATTAACCGACCCCGGAGGGATGGAAGGCTTGGTTGGCCCGGGCGACTCACGACCCAGGATTTGATCCCCGGACCGCTCGCGTGGTAAGCGTGCCACTTGCCACTACACCACTTCCGCCCACAGATCGCTGGTACAACAAAAAATTTGCTAGATTTCCTCCGGCACACATTGAGAACATTTTTCATTTTGATCCTTCGAAATATTTGTATTTCAGTTCCACCGTTAGAGATATTTTACAATCGGATTGCTTGGCTGGTATTATTGCGTACAATGTGTCACAAATAAACCAAACCAAGCCTCTTTCTCACGATGCCGCCTGCCCAAATCACATGAGTGGTGGGTGAAGATCTTTTTTATTTGTCTTTCATAAGGCATGAACGAGGCAGGGATTCATTCAACACAGAATGCAGTTGTACACAGTATTGCTAGAATTCCTATCAGAGTGAATGACAGTAGATAGACAGAGATTTGCTACTTCGTTTTGTTTGTGTGGGTTACGAAATTTGGCACTCTGAGGATTCCTGAGAGACCCGGTCAATAGGGTATGGAAGGGTATGAGCCCAGCGGTGGTTCACGCTTTGAAATTAGTTAGTACCGAAGCCCAAACTGCTTAATTTGGTGCTTGCGGTAATCGGTTACAAGAAAGCCTGAGCCTAGAAGGTTTTAGTGGAGCCAATCTTAGAGCGTGGAACTTTTTTTAAATTTGTGCCTGCAAGAGCTTCATGGCACAATTGCTAGAAATGCGAGTTGCGACGGCTAATCAAATCGCTTTCAAACCCATCAGACTGATTTTAGTAACTCGTTCAATATCTCATTAACTGATTTGATACATACGCATTAAAGAGGCAAAGGTCGGGCTCAGGCACGCTAGAGAAGTAATTCCCGTGCCTGGAGGTTGTATGTGGGTAGCTGCACACATTGCAGCAAACTTCCCCACCTTGAAAACCCCGTTTAAGGCCCCGGGGCGTTCGGTTTCAATCCAGGGCCGCCTGGTCAATCCAGGACCGCCCACCTCCGGAAGTGGTGCGTGGCTGGCATAACGTGTGAAATCAGCTAGGTTGATTGCCGTATCAACCGATAGAACGACTGACATCTTCCAGAAAACTTGTTTGTACGTGCCTCTTTCCCAAGCCAGCCTCCTTCACTGCTAGTGGGAAAGTTAACGGCCTTGGACGGTTTTTCTCAGTTTTTTCTCCACTGTCGTTCCACTTCGCATCTCTATACTCAGTTTCAATCGCCATAATACCCCCTTATTGAGCCCGACTTTTGCCTTTAATACGATAAAATTATTGATTTTGTATTAATTGACTGTTCAGTTGTAAAACCAAAAGTTGTTTTTGGATCTCGACATGATTATATGTACTTTTTTTCAAAATTCTGTGAGATTCAAAGAGTAGTTTAGTATTCGTTTCGAGTTTTGATACATACTTTATTCGTCCACACAGAATTGTCGAGCGAGCGAGTATAGTGCAAGGTCACTGTCAAGCACCATTACTGCTCTTCCGTATGCGAATTATTCAGGCTTTCCGAAGGATGGATGTGCCTACAATACCTGGAATGAGGAAGGTGCTATCTTACCTGAGGGCTTGCGGAATATTGACTGGCACATACAGTTTCTTTATATCTATAACCAAACTTATATCGACGCTCTTAGAACGGTTTGTGTTTTTATCCTTATCAGCCATACATTCATGGCTTTTTTCTGTCTTTCGTTACTTCTCCTACTCACCATCAGCCGATACGCTACACATGACAGAGTAAGGGCCGCTGTGATGTACGCTGCTCATAGGATCATGATCAATCGGATCGGATCTTCTCTCGTCCAGAAACGTTTTTTTGCTCCGGGAACTATATAGGCGTGCCTTCAAGGGCGAACGATTATTGTTTAAATAAGGCTAGAGTCTTTTCAGGCTCTACATAATATCTAGACTAAATGCTCACTTGGTCCAACAAATATTATTCGTGTCGAATTTATGATGCATCGTAGTGAATTTGCCAACAGCTTTCTTCTTCTATGTTCTTACTACATAGTTGAAGCTAGAGCATGAACAAAAATTGGTGAAATACATATCAGATTCGATCCCTTTCAGTGTTACGAACTGTTCAATCACCCTATCAACGAATGGTCAACAGTGACTTTTCCGTTATGTGGTGCGTCATTCGGCACATTCAATAGAGCTGCGGGATCGTCTGAAATTTGTATGCGGAGGAGCAGGCTGTGGTCAGAATATATCGCCCACTTCACTGGCAGTCCCTTGTAGGTTTTCAGCCTTTCATTTTTGCAGCATTTTGCAGCATTTCAGCATTTTTTTTGGGACGTTATTCACATTATTCAGAGGGGACGTGGAGGGAGGGGGTGAAATTTGAGTTTGGCTTTGTCTTTCATCCATCACTTCCTGCTCACACCGTGGGCAGTTTTTGTCATTTGATCATCCCGGGTCTCCCCCACCCTCAGGCCTTAGGCAAGGATGTCATTTTCTTTAGTTTTGGGTCATTTCCACCTTAAAGGAAGCGATTACGATAGATCACAAAGGGGTTTAGAGGGGACGTCAATAGTACGCCAATGGCGAAAAAAGCAAAGAAATCCGTCGAAAATAAGCAAAATGGTACCCCTTTGATTGCCCTTTCATTTTCGACCATGGATGAGCGACGGTAAAGAACGACGTTGTTCGGACGTGTTAACCCCGATAGCCGCCATCATGCCAACAAGCATAGTGTTTTGATTGATAAGGCAATACGTGGGCAAGTTGGAAGATACAGCCGCTAGAAGGGAAATGATCATCCAATAGCTGAAGAACTACAACGTGCTTTGGAGGTCGTTGTGAAGTGGTCGAAAACAATGGAGCCTACCCCTCTCTGAGGCGAAAACTAAAGTTATTCATCTCGGTGGAAGCAATAACCGATACAACTACCATATCAATGGTGTGCCCCTAGTTGTGGTCGAACAAGTATCTGATCTCGGTTTCCTTATTACCAGCGCGACCTTAGCTTTGATGCTCACTGCGAAGCGATTGCGAAAAAGGCAACTGTTGTTATGTACAACTTGTTCAGGGCCCTGACAACCAAAAGCGCTGCCGTACTACTGCGCGCTTACAAAACCTTTGTCAGACCCGTGGTCGAATATGGCACTCCGGTGTTCAATCCATATAAGATTAAGTCAATTAAGAGATTAGAGGCCGTCCAGAACAGTTTCACAAGAAAACTAATGATAAGGATTTTGGGATTCATGTATGATCAAATTCCTTCCAGTGAAACAAGGAATAAGAACTTTGGTCTACAATCATTGCAGTTTAGGCGGAAACGTAATGATTTATTAATGTTCCGTAAAATTTTGCTGGGTGCAACAAGCATGGCACCTAATGAACTTTGGTCTCTTAGATCCTCTGTTACAAGAGGTGGTAGGACGAAAGTTGATGTGGGCCGAGCCAGACTAAATTGCAGGCGACACTTCTTTACGCATAGAGTGACTCCCTTGTTTCATAAGTTGTGCAAGAAACGTACGCCTCCATTAGCATCTCACACTATGTTCAAAAATTATTTAGATAGTTGCTTGAGCCCGTGAAATCCTTGGTTCCTAGTTCCTTACCATACACTTCTCCTCTCTATCCTTTGCTGTTGCTGTTCCATGTCAACTTTTTTTTCTTATTTCGTGTTTTGGTTCGTCTACCTCATCATGTTTTAAGATGCAACTCGTTGGACTTATCTCGTTCCGTTTTTTTTATGTGCACGAACATAGCTCGTGTAATAAATATAATATATATAATATCATCCAAAATGAAAAGCCAACAGCAAACAGTCCATCCAGATCATCAACAAAACTAGTGGGCGTCACGTCACTGGGGGCGGGGCGTCACGCGGGTCCTGCTCAGCAACCACAGCACCTTTCGCCGTGGGAGGACCACACATCGCTTCCTTGGCAGCCAAGTAATTGCTCCGTGTGGCGCAGGTTCTCCCCCGATGCGAAAATTCCTTATCGTAATCGCTTCCTTTAAGAGTACCTCCACGTTCACCGATACTTAGCAGAAGTATATTTCACTCGAGTCGATCACGGATCATGAACCCTCTCATTTTTATCGTCCGTTGCCGTTCTATGGTGCTCAATTAGTCCGGAATTGCTGCTTTTCTGTGGGAAAACTTGAGGCAAGATTTGTAGTCGAAAGTGACCTTTTTCCCGGGGAAATGCTACGGTACGCAAGTGAGAACATTTACACAGCTTTCGGAATGACTTGACAAGGCCGTGGTGCCAAGACCCGAGGATGCAGCATTGGCCCCGCCCAACACATTGACTCCTCAGCACCATAGTGGCTATTTTCGCTTTTCTTTAACTGAAGGCAGAGTTTAATTTCTGGCCTTTTCGATTGTCTCTTCCAATTTTCCGCTTGCTAGTGTACCCTTCACTTCTTCAATGTCCCGTACAAGCGAAACAATACATCAATTTGATCCCGGCCTTTGCCTTTAAGTAACATTATAAAAGAAGTGATCTTTTTTTGAACTGGTTTGAGTCGGAAGTGGAAGAATGCCGAAAGGCCATGCCGGCCATGCCATAACTTCGATAGGACGTTTAATTTTTTTTCCTCTGTTCTTTTTAAACTTTACGAAATTTTTTATTTGTAGTAAAAAGCCCGAACTTTACGAAATTTTTTCTTAAGATAGAACAGCCATGATCGTGAAAGTGGTGATCGGGGTAGGGAGGAGGGAGGGTCGTATTGGAAGAGCCTCTAGAGACTGATGGCGGTCGGGGGTCGCATCAAGAACCCCTTCCCAAATTTTTGGAAGACTGCGAAGGGGATGGCTGACCATGCTTGTAAATTTTTCAAATAATTCATATAACAAATCCACTTACCTGGCCGCTCTTGGCCTGCTTTCCATCACTTTGAGCGTACAACTTTTGACCATCACCAGTTCCCAGCTGCTGTACTTCTTTGTAAGAAAATGCCTACCCGTTCCAGTGCTTTCTGTTCACCTTTGATGGGTCTCAATGTTATTGCCCATCTTCCTCCGACGGTGCATAGTAACAAGAAATCTGCCACAAATAACGCAACCAGCTCACGGTCAGATACCAGATATCTGATGTTGACAGCTCGAGTGAGTAATAGCATCCACTGGTAGTAAAAATTGCTCCAGGTTTCCCTAAACATTTTGTCGCTTTCAGTTAGACAGCTTTGGACTGATCCCAGAAATATCACCTGGCGAAATCAGTGTCGTCACTTCTGTGATAGCTCTTCTCGCGGTTCTTCAAGCTATAGGAAAGAACATGCAGCTTTTCGAACAAGCTGCACTAGCCTCGAATAAGCACCTTCTCATCGCTTTCTTTGATGGAGTCAGTCAATCTTTCTTTTTTTTGTGAAATGACTTGTCTTATGGATATTTCCAGGAAGCTTTCGACTATATCGGTAGCAGTAAGACGGCATTTGAGATGGTGTAAGGAATTACGCCACTTTTTTGAGTATTATGCCAGATATCTTGTTGTGACCTTTATTTTTAAGATAAGGCTGTTACACCTTAAAAGCCAAGTTATAACCGAGGAGTTGATTTTTCATATTTATCAGGAATGGAGCTTTTCCTCGAGAACCAAGAGACGATTTGAAAGAGTCTCTTGAGTTGATTTCCGCTTCGCAGTTAGATGGCATAGTAGAAGTACAGCAGCTGGGAACTGGTGATGGTCAAAAGTTGTACGCTCAAAGTGATGGAAGGCAGGCCAAGAGCGGCCAGGTAAGTGGATT